ATTGCTGAGCAGTGCTGCAGAGGGAAAAGGAAAAGTTTAGTTTATTCCCCTTCACGGGTTGATGATTTTGTTGATGGGTTTAGTAGTTCTCTGCTTACTACCTCAGACAATGCAGCTCCTTTGAAAAAGAAAAACTTAGAAAAAATAGAAAGCTGGCTCCTCGGTTTGATGCAGAGCAGTGCACTCTGAAACAGAAATCACGCTCCACAGTCCTACAGGAATCCTACCTAGCCTGGAAAAATAGTTTATTGCTGTATGAGAGTAGCATGTTTCTCCTCATTAATAGAGGAGAATAAGAATAGTCCTAGATATCTTTTTAATAGCTCTGTTTAACCGTCCATTCCACCTGCTCTTAGCAGTAATGATTTTATGGGATTCTGTAAATAAGATTGATCTTATTAAAATTTGGATCATTAGTGCTCCACTAACTAGAATGGATTATCTCTGGAGGCAGTATCTGAGGGAGCCATAGAATGTGTATCTTTGTACACATTAATAGAAAATAGGTCTAGGATTGTGAAAATATATTCCCATGTATTTTTTTATGTGTCTGCTTCAAGCGGCTTATGAGAATGATCATGATTTATAGATGTCTTTTAATGGATGTAATTTAATCTGACTATAAAAATCTAACTAAACTGTGTTAATATTGACACAGATTTTAATACAGGGTGCAGGAGGCTACCACATGCACCGCAGCTGTCCAGGATACTCCATAAAAAAACTGTAGGCTATTTCATTATATAGTTTTATTTATTTTAAAAAATATCTGCTTTTTAATTTGTTTGTACACACACACACACATATATATATATATATATATATATATATATATATATATATATATATATATATATATATATATATATATATATATATATATATATATAATGGTAAAAAAGAGGGATATTCCCAACGACTGTGCTGATGCAAACTGACTTTTCCCAGTGTTATGTTTGTTATGTTGCTCACCTGTCATTGTGAGAGGGAGGGGTGTGGGGGGTTAAAGGAACAGGGCTGCTGAGGTGCTCTGTTTACATGATGAAGGAGGGACAATGACAGTTATTTAATGTAAATATCTTGCTAAATATCTACTAGCGTTTAGCTGATGCTAACCCTCTGATAACTATGGTATTTTCCTGTTACCTGGTCTGGTTGATAAAGTTAAATTCTCAGCTCCGTAAGATTTATGGCTTAGTTTTTTTGGCCTCTGTGTTATTTGCAAACACAATAGGCTCATTAAATGCTAGATTAATCCTGGTTTATTTTCTCTTGAAAACTGAAAATGATACGTAACAAATAAGAAAAAGCTAGCAATTATGATCCTTTTCAGACAGCACCCAGCTGGGCTGCGTCTAATCTCAGACACTCGGGTTTAACAGTCCAGACCAAGAATCTCCCCAAGTGCTGCAGTCCCAGAGGTCATGCTGGAAGCCGATCCTGGTGAGGGATCCAGAACAGACAGGAACCGACAGCACAGGCAGGATCCAGATCAGGCAGGAACAGAACAGGTGTCAGGATCCAGGCTTCCAGGCATCATAGAGCTCCCAGGCGGGTTCAGAGTCTGACAGGGTCTGAAAGCGTGACCAGGTGGTCACGCACAGGAGCAGACAGGATCAGGTGCAGACGGGCAGGCTCAGTGGCAGAGGGTAGCCAAGACAGGACGTGGAACCAGAACTTGATGAAGGACCTTTAAACTGGTCTCCTCCATGGAGCCAGGCTTACTTTGATAAAAACTGAACCTCCCCGCATATAGAGTCAAAAACCCAGAGGACTCAGTGGGGGAGGAACAGTGGACAATTAGGAGACGAGACAGACAAAAAAAACCTCTTTCCACTGGCTGCCAGGATCCAGGACATTAACCATTAAATAAAAATAACAGACAGGCTAACAGAAAGACAAATAATAATCTGGCACTGAATGCTCAGGCTGAACTGAATATAACCAAGAGGAAACAGGTGAGAGGAATAAATTATAATTGAGGCAGGGAGGGAAAACGACAGGTGAAAGGAAAGACTAATTAAGGGAGAGCAAACAGGCCAGATCATGACAAAATGTTAACATTCCTGTCCCTATGTCTCTGTAGTTATTCCAGCAGGTTCTGGGTTTGCTGGGTTGGGCTTGGCGGAGCTGAGTCTTATTCTGGAAACTTTGCTTGCCGCTTTCACCTTTTATAATCTTTGCTAATGAAACAAATAACAATCAGAATCTTCTCCATTGCAACTCAAAGGCAGAGAGGGAACCCTTTCTCTCACCAGGAAGAACTCCAATGTCAACAAGCTTAGCCCCTCTTACTGTACTCCTCACTGGAGAAGGAAAGGTCCAGCCCATTACAGACATCCCAAGTTCCAAAAACTCATTTAATTTCAGGGAGATGCTTATCATACCCCATGTTTGTTAACTAACAGTAAATTCTTAAACATACAGTAAAACAGAACAGTATTGGTCTTTTATTTTCAATGCTTTCAATCTTGTAGCCTTGAACACCGGTTGTACTTGTTTTTCATGGAACTTCAGCATACAGTGCACCTCGCCACGGTGTCATCATTCCTCATCATGGTAGGTTCTAGACAGGGGCCAACGGGGGCCAGTGCCCCTGTAGATCATGTCCTGGCCCCTGTTATGGACCCTGTACTGAAGACATAATACTTAAAAGAAATTCTAATGATGATAACCAGACATGGTTACTGATAGGTCCTTTGGATCTATTTCATTATTTTTCTTTAAAAATTCTGTTTTACTAATTATTCAAAAACAATAAGGTGATAGCTTCAGTGGTACTAAGATAGGATGCCAGTTTTCATCTGTTATGTTTTTTTTTTTTTCACAACAAATAAAAACAATGCTCTAATTTTTACAGATGAATTTAACAGTTTTTTTGTTCTAATTCAAATTTTATAGAAAATGGTAGTAACTTAAATTAAGTCAAAAGTATGTAAAATTCCTAAATTATAAATGCATATTGACCTCATAAGAAATATAATTTTTATTGAACCTAATTGAAAAGAAATGTCACTTCATGCAGCTCTCTTAATATATTTTAATCCCTTGCTCTGTTTTTTATTTCATGCTTTTCTGTGTTCCCATGAAAACACTCTGGCCCCCTCCTGGCCACCTGGTACATTTGGTCTAGATCCACCACTGTTCCTCCCCTTCACTAGACGTGGATATAGTTTAGTATATTTTGCTTTAAAATTAGTCCTATATTTTTTCGCTTTGTACACAAGGATTCAACCTCTGCCATTTCACAGGATGCACAGCTTAAAGTTATCGGACTTATCCAATCAGCTCTCTGACAACTAGTCGCCTTGAACGATCACTGAACAGAGCATTGCTTTGGAAAGATTAGCACAGGTTTCACCAGCAACCTCCTCCCCACTCCTCTCTCTCTTTTGTCTGCGTAATCACAGTAGTTCTTATCCCCAGTGAATGAATTATTGTACTACCTGCCTGCTCTCACTCGCATTAAAAAACACCACCTTCCATAGTCTAAAATCCGGGATAATTTATCCGACTCACGGGCATCAATAAACAACTATCGATATCAGGGAAACTCCCGGAACTTCCAGGAGACTTGGGATGTCTGCCATTACCAGTAACTAGTCTTGACCAAACAAGCTTTGTCTGGAAGTGAGTTCAACAATATATTGCCAGTAATGCTCAGCCTTGTTGTACCACTGAAGTGACATTTTCAAAAGTGAAATTATGAGGCCAGGACTCAGCATATCCAGGCCCCTCTACCTACACACGATTTTCATATATCTTGTGTTGAGGGAGTTTTCTGAACCTGTCCAATATCAGTGAAGGCTCTTTATTTTTATTGTTCCATCTTGATTTATGTTTAACTGAAATTTTAAAAACAAATTTAAAGTTGTAGTAACTGAAGAAAAAACTAAACAATGCCAAATAAAATACAGACTGTTTAAAAATTATATTTAGCCCGAAGCTAATGGAATTACTCAGGTGATCCAGCTTTATAATTTTTGTCTATTATTGCCATCTGGTGGTGAGTCTTGTAAATTAGAAGGTATTTCCCTCGGATCACAGAGGCAGTGCCGTTTCAAATAAGAAAAACTTCATATCACCTTTTCCATTATAACCAAAAATTGTTTTGTCATTTTAGTCTTGCCCTGCCAGCAGAAATAAAACTTTTTGTTAAAATGCATCAGTGCAGAAGTGGGAGTGATGTTTCTACGACGGAGTATTAGGGCCACACATGAAGAGAAAAAATATTTTTGCCATGACGAGATTAAACTCGACATGTCAACTTTAAAGTCGACATGTCGACATTAAACTCAACATTTCGAGAATAAAGTTGAAATGTCATGTTGAGTTTAATCTCTACGTGTCGACTTTAAACTCGCCCTGTCGACTTTAAACTCGCCATTTCGAGAATAAAGTTGATATATCGTGGCGACTTCAATCTCGACATTCCAAAGTTTGGAGAAAAGAGCAACCGCGCTCCACAGCTGCAGTCTGCTTTTTATGAGTGAAGGTAGTCTTTGACGTGCTGCAACTGTATAATCATCACAGGAAGCGGTGGCCTACCAATAATAACGTAACGTCTTTCCCTATGCTTACCCAGGCTCGCAGTTCTGAATTTGAGAACATGTCAGTCATTTCAACTTTATTCTCGAAATGGCGAGTTTAAAGTCGACAGGGCGAGTTTAAAGTCGACATGTCGAGTTTAATCTCGTCATGGCAAAAATATTTTTTCTCTTCATGTGTGGCCCTAATACTCCGTCGTATGTTTCAGACACAACATAAACTCTGATAAGGAAAAAAAAAACAATTGACTTGTTTTGAAAAAATAAATAAATTTATAGACTCTTTTCTTTAAAAGTATCTATATTTGGTGTTGTATCACAGTAAGCGCTTCAGTGATTGTTTTGCATCATTCCCATTCTTTTTATCGGTTCTGACCTTTGACCAACCAGTTTTTTCGCGAAGATAATTGTTTAAGCCCATTCACTCTAGATCAATTTGGTCCATTTGCTCACCTTTGACTGGACCATGGGTCATTTGCCTAGATAAACCACTTTGTTTGAAGATATTAATCTAAACTCCTTTAAGGTCTAAACTCACAACTCTTGTTTGCCTGTAAACATGCTTTCTCCTAATGTGATAAAAACAAACAGAATATCCAGGGGGCTAAAGGAATAAAACTGAATGGTTAAGCTCTATTTTTAAATGTACAACTGAGAAACTGAGAAATAAGTCATGCATCCAATCCTGTTGCTCTGAGCCACATGGAGGATGTACTGCCGGCTGAAACAGTACTTTATTGTCTAAAAGTTGATACATGTATACGAGGGAGCCCTAAGCTTTTGACGAAAATAACGAGGTTACACGAATCAGGCAAGGGAAAAGACTTATGCAATAGCATAAGAAGCAGATTTCTCTCCTTAAGTTTAAAGGAGAAGTTCGGTTTTTAACACTTTTAGCCCATTTTCTGTAGTGTCCAGGATGAAATCGAATGATCGACACCAAAATTTTGACAATTGGTCCTGTCTCTGCTTTTTGGCTCATTTAGAATCAACCCCTGGATGCTTTAGAATGGCTTGCATAGAGCATGTCCTATAATGTCCTTAAAACAACCTTAAACGTTCTTTTTTTAAAATATGCTACTCACCGGGTCGTCAGCGCTGTTCAATGACGTTCCAAAAAAAGTTTCGTAAAGAAAAAACGTTCCTGTAGTGTTTTATTTAGCATTTTATAAATCCCATTGAGTTCTGTTGGAATAGTCAATATTCCCCTGCCACCGGAAACGGAAATGGGGCCTGTTTACACAGTTGTAGTCTTTTCGCTTCACTCTGTGTACTCCGACGTCGAGAATCAAGAATCCACCTTTCGTATTCCATTTTCAGAGTTTTTTAAAGTGTTTAACAGAGACGTTAGCACCTCGACGTCGGAGTACACAGAGTGAAGCGAAAAGACTACAACTGTGTAAACAGGCCCCATTTCCGTTTCCGGTGGCAGGGGAATATTGACTATTCCAACAGAACTCAATGGGATTTACAAAATGCTAAATAAAACACTACAGGAACGTTTTTTCTTCACGAAACTTTTTTTGGAACGTCATTGAACAGCGCTGACGACCCGGTGAGTAGCATATTTTAAAAAAAGAACGTTTAAGGTTGTTTTAAGGACATTATCGGACATGCTCTATGGAAGCCATTCTAAAGCAGCCAGGGGTGGATTCTAAATGAGCCAAAAAGCAGAGACAGGACCAATTGTCAAAATTTTGGTGTCGATCATTCGATTTCATCCTGGACACTACAGAAAATGGGCTAAAAGTGTTAAAAACCGAACTTCTCCTTTAAGGGCATTTAGCCTTATTTGAAACATTAGTCTTCCTTTATGAGCTAAGTCTAAAGAATTTTAAAATAAGAGTGAATATCATTTCTTATACTTTTGGTATTTTGCTTCATCCAGCGACCAAGACTTCCACACCCCAGAAACCTCTTCCTGTCAGGATCATGGCGCTGATAAATTGCTTAATGGTTCATTCTATTCACCTGCCTAGCTCTGCCCAGTTTCTCAGTAGTGTTCATCTCATTCACCTTCTCCTGTGTCTATTTAAGCTGCTTGACCCCAGTTATCAGTGCCAGATTACTCAAGCTGTTGGTGAGAGTTATCTAGCATTCTCTAGAGTTCTCTCTGTGTTGTTCTGATTACCTGATCCGGACCAGTTTCTGCCCTTGGACATCTGAGCTTGCCTGACCATGTTCTGATCTGTTTGCCTGACTTGTCTTTGGACTCCTGCTGGATTCTGCCTGCTTTCGACCCTGGATCTGTCTCCTTAACCCAGTCTTTTTGTCTTCAGGAACTAGAACTCTTTGGGCGGCATCTGCCGCATCCTGTGGGATATCATCCGGCCGGATTCCACTCCTTCTTCCTTAAAACCAGGTTAGTGACTCACACTCGTAATCATCAGAGTTACGTCACTAACCTGAGTTTTACCCTCTATAGAGATTCTGGCCTTTTCCGTCCCCGCTGCTCAGTCACAAACTCGACGTATTGTCAATAAACGCTATTTTAAATCACATCAGTCTGTCTGCCTGAGATTCTGGGTCCAAAGTTCTGAGTTCTGACACTTCCATCTCCTCTTGGAGAAGCTCAAGGCACTCCATCCAAGCTGAGAGACACAGGCTAAGTTTGATTTCAGTGGCTGCGTCCTCCAAGGGCGTAGGTTTGATTTGAACTTTGGTAGGGACACTATTGGTCGGGTGTCATTGGTGCTATGCAATATGCCCTTTTTTATGCTCGATGTGAGCATCCGTACTGATAAGAGGAATTCATTGTTAAAAGAGAAAAGCAACATTTTGCTCCATTATTAAAAATTATATAAGCACTACACTCATTAGATGCTGTTTATCAATGTTTGAAGTATCACCGGCTCTGATGAATGTGGAATTAGGACTGTTTTCCACTTTGAAAACGGTTTCATTTGAACGACTAAGAGAGAAGGTAAATACAGTATTTTCTTTTGAAGATATAGAATTGTGCAGAGTTAAACCCCACTCTAATATTTGTACCTACTATTCTCTCTCTGTATCAAGCAAAATAATACATTCATTAAAATATTAACTTCACTATAAAAGTAGAACATCTGGGCTGTAGTTACTCTGTGTAACCAATTTCTTGTATTTCATCTGGGGCTGAAAAAAATGAATCATATTAATTGATTATTTCAATAATCGTCAACTAATTTAGTATGTAATTAATCATTAACTGGAGTATAGAGACTTTAAAACATACAGTAATATAAATGTAAAATGTGCCTTTCCCCACAGAGCAACCCACTTAGATCAGTTATTATATCAAAATTGTAAAAATAAAAACAAAAAAAATGAAAACAGTAATATCAACTAAATATCGGTAAAAAGGAAACCCTCACATTTTCTTTTTTAGTTGGCTGTGGCTAAGAATCAGAAATGTTGATGGCTTACAGCCTTTATTTGCCCATTTTTCCAGCAGTCTTCAGAACTCCTGGCTGACTCAGAATATTTCGTTTAATAAAAGAAAAAAAAAGTTTTTTTTTTTTTTTTAGTGTACATGATATTCATTTTTTTTATTGGGACTAGTTTTGTAGCCTAATATTAATTGTAGCAACCGCTGCATTCTAGTGTGAATAAATTTTCAATTTTGTGCTCCAAGCACACACGGACTAGAAAACAGCCTATCAAGGAGAGAGAAGGTGGAACTTAAGGCAGAACAACCAAGAGTTGATTTAAACAGCGCAGCACAGTTCCATGCGCTGCTACATGAAAGGGACAGGAGAAACCAGGCAGAGGAGCTGCGAGAGGAAAAGAAGCCACTGCTGCAACAACTACTGCTGTAAATGATAAACATGTTGCCCACATCCAATTATTGGTCGGGACAATTAGGTCGGTTCAAAATTTTGGTAGGGACATGTCCCTATGGTCCCTATGCAAACCTACGCCCATGGCGTCCTCCGAAGGACCCAGTTTACCTGGAGTGGGTCCTTAGAGGGCCGTGAAAATTATGAGGCCAAAAATGAACATTGTATACGATAGGTGTGGGTTCCGGTCAGGAATGTAACAGGCAGGAGAGACATTTGACTGCTTTGTGACTGATTTAAAACTGAAATCACAGTCATATGATTTTGGAGATTTGAAAGACTCAATGGTTCGTGATCAGATAGTTTATGGAGTACTTGACAAAAAGACGAGGGAAAGGATGCTAAGAGATGACAAGCTAACTTTGAATGAGGCTGAGAAGATATGCTAGCATGCTAAGGAAGTAACACAACAGCATGCTAAAACGTTTGCAGACATGAGTGCATCTGTCGTGTATAAGAGTGCTAAAGTAGCAGTCATCAGAAATAAGATAAAAAGACATGACCAGCAGAAAATTAACAAAAACGCAACAGGCTGCAAACGACGTGGTGGAAAGCATGAGCCAAGGCAGTGCCCTGCGTATGGCAAAAGATGTGCAAAATGCAATAGAAAAAATCATTTTGCCAAACAGTGCCTGACTAAGGACAGATCAAAGCCAGTGAGGGTAGTTGAGGAAACAGACCTGGATGAGACGTTCTTCATAGATATGGTGTCATGTGAATATGCCAAGAAATGGCAAGCCGCAGAGGAACATGAAAGGCACAAAGAAGATGAAAACTGGATAGTTTCACTGCCAATAAATGGAGCTTTGGTAGCGCTGAAAATTGACACGGGTGCAGAAGCCAATCTGATCAGTATGACAGAAATCAGGGCTATAAAAGAAAAGCCGAAAATATACAAGAAATCAGTGCAGCAGAAAGACTACAGTGGAAAAGAAATAGAAAGCAAAGGTCAGTGTAGACTAAGAGTAACTGTGAAGAGCAAAGGATACAGTGTGTTGTTTTCTGTAGTACCTGAGGGTTGTGAGTCACTGATAGGAGGGGTCACCTCAAAGAATCTGAATCTGGTGAGAAGAGTCCACCAAATCAGCTGTCCAGAAGATGTGAGGGCACACAACAGCACAGTTGACTACATAGTACAATGTTTCCCTGATGTATTTAAAGGATTGTGCTGCCTTCCATACACAAACACAATTCAACTGAAAGAGGATGTGCAACCAGTGATCCATGCACCATACATGACAAAGAATTACAAACAGTAATCAACAACATGCTAACAGGATGGCCCAGAAGCTCCTGTCCAAAAATCTATCACATAAGTGCAGAGCTAAGTGTGGCGAGTGGACTGTTGCTGAGAGACTATAGAATAGTCATCCCATACAGCCTTAGATCAGAGATACTGAGACAGCTACATGAGGGACATCTTGGAATCGAAAAATGTAAGAGGAGAGCCAGGAGCGCTGTGTATCGGCCTGGCATTGATAGTGACATAGAAAACATGGTAGGACAGTGTGAGACATGCAACAAGTATCAGAGCAAACAGGCAAGGGAACCCATGATGATCCCAGACCTTACCACTGCACCCTGGGAGAAAGTTGGAACTCACCTGTTTCATTGCAATGGAAAGGACAATTTGCTAGTAATTGATTACTA